AATAAAATATTTTTTTAAAAATCCTAGAAAAAGAAAAAAGTAATCAATGCTATGTGATAATCACATGCAAATTTGGAGAACTACCTATCATTTCCTGACTAAAGATTTCTGGTAGAGTCAACCTTAAATTTTTAATCAGGGACTGGGTTTAACTCTTTCATAATGATACAGATCAACAACAGAAATATCTTAAAGCAAGTGTTTGAGAACAAGATTTAATGCAAGCTTCCTAACACTAAATAGAATTCTGATGTAACTTTTGTTTGGTTGGTTTCACTGAGACAGGCCCCCTGTATGCATGTAGCCCAGGCTTACCTTTAACACAGATCCTTTTGCTTCTGCCTCCCCAGTGCTGAGATCAAGCTCAAAGAAGGAAGAGGAGGACAAGGAAGAGGAAAGGGGCAGGGGGGGGAGCCACCAAGATTTGAAATCTATTTTGTGAAGTAGAAGAGTCTACCCAGAAGAGTCCAGAAATATATTCGAGTACAGACCCAAGAACACAATTCTACTATACTCTACACAAAAGGCTCATTTTTTTTTTCTTTTTCATTTGGTTTGAGACAGGGCCTCCCTGTAGCCCCTAACTTGGAACTCATTATATAGACAAGGCTGGCTCAATCTCAGAGATCCACCTGTCCTCTGCCTTTGTAGAGATTAAAGGAGCACGCAACCACACCGGGCACAAATTTGTTTTAATTATACAAGATAAGTCTCATGATTTTTGTTGTTGTATTTTATTCTTCAAGACTAGTCCAGCCTGGCCCAGAAATCACAATATTCTTGCCTCAGCTTCTCAAGTGTAGATTGCATAAAACCCAGATCATCTCTAATTCTGTAAAATATATTCATAAGTGTTGTATAAGTTAATTTCTAAAGTACTCGTCCATAAAAAAAAAAAGTCAGAAAAATTTAGACTGCATTTGAGTTTGGCAGCCAAATAAAATTAAAGTTCACGTGGACATTCAGACAGAATCAGCTTAAAGGTGGTGAGAGTGACATTTTTTTTTTTGTTCTTTTGGAGGGGGCTTTTTTGAGACAGGGTCTCCCTGTAGCCCCAGCTAGCCTGGAGATATATAGACCAGGCTGGCCTTGAACTGAGAGAGACATTTCTAAGCTCTTTGTATCTTGGTGTTGGTTTTTCTGAGGTAAAGATTAAAGTGGAGCCAGGCATAGTGGTACATGCCTTTAATCCCAGCACTTTGGAGGCAGAGGACAGTGGATCTCTGTGAGTGCAAAGCCAGTCATAGTCAGTTCCAGGCCAGCTGGGGCTACAGGGAGACCCTGTCTCAAAAAGACCAAAAAAACAAACAAAAAAATTTTAAGTAGAATGAGAAAGAACAGATATAGTAAAATTGTCATCTTTCCCTAATTAGAAACATAAAATCATCTGGAAAACATAATTTTTCCCTCATCTATTTCTTTTCCATGATCACAATTTAATCCTTAGAGGGGAAAAAAAAAAAACCTAGAACATCACTAGGCCATCCAAGTCAGGTATTTCCTACTTCTGTAAGGTCCACAGAAGTCTGGGAGTACAGCTCAGTGTTATAAGGCCTGCCTGACATGCTCAAGGGCCTAGGCCCCCATCTCCAGCAGAAGGGGAAAATAGACGTACCTATAGTAAATATGTGAACAGTCAATTTCAAGAGACAGAAAGTACAATAATGGTCACCAGAGGCAAGTAACCACTGGAAAAGATAATAAACTTGATGAGTCCAGACATGACATAGTGCCACTGAATTACACATTGAAAAGTGGTTAAAATATTTTGTTACTTTTAAAGAAGTTATTTAAAAAAAAAAAAAAGAAGAAATTCATATTCTGACCAACCTTCAAAGCCCAAAACCCAACCTCTAAAGTACAAAATCAGATTAAACCTTCTGTTGTAGTCACCATACTGTATGTAATCCCAGCCCTCAAGAGGCTGAGGTAGGAGGACTGCAACAAGTTTGAGATCAGTCTGTGCTACACAGCATCAGGCCAAGACTTTTCTTGTGAGGAAAGTAATTGTAATACATAACTATAATCGCAGCTCTTGGGAGGCTGAGGCAGGAATATTGCAAATCAGAGACCAGCTTAGACTATAGAGTATTCCAATTCAGCCCAAGATAAGATGAAAGAAAGAGAGAAAGAAAGAGAGAGAGAGAGGGAGGGAGGGAGGGAGGGAAGGAAGGAAGGAAGGAAGGAAGGAAGGAAGGAAGGAAGGAAGGAAGGAAGTCTTCATACTACCAAACATCGAATTCTTGCTTATACTTTACATTCAAGGCTTAGAGTTTATCTCAGGAGAGCGTTTGTCTAACAAGTGTTAGGCCCTGGGTTCCACCCTAGTACTACCGAAACAATTATTGTGTGTTGTTGGGTATGCATGCCACAGCACACACATGGGAGGTCACAGGATAACCTTGTCAGTTCTTTCTTTCCACCTTTATGTGGATTCCAGAGATTGAACCCAGGCTGTCAGGTTTGTGTGGCAAGCACTTTTATCTGCAGAGCCAGTTTACCAGTCCATAAAACTATCTCTTTTTTTTTTTTTAATCTTTTTGAGACAGGGTCTCCCTGTAATCCCAGCTGGCCTGGAACTTAGTATGTAGACCAGGCTGGCCTTGAGCTCAGAGATCCACCTGCCTCTGCCTCTGCCTCTGCCTCCCAAGTGCTAGGATTAAAGGCATGCACCACCATACCCAGCACAAAACTTTGTCTTAATATACTTCACTGTGCTTCATAAAAAGAAAATTCAGCCAGGTGTGCTGGTGCACACCTTGATCCCAGGCACCCGGGAGACAGTCAGTTCTCTGAGTTTGAGACCAGCCTGATCTACATGGCAAGTTCCAGGCCAGCCAGGCCTATACAATGAGACCCTGTCTCTAAAAAAGGGAAAAACCCAGGGGTTTGAGATACAGCTCTGCAGTTAAGAGCTGGAACTCTGGTTCCAAGGAATCCAGTGCCCTCTTCTGGCTTCCACAGGCACCAAGCACACTTGTAAGTACACTTACATACATATAAGCAAAACACGCATACACATTAAAAATAATAAATCTTATATATAAAGAAACCCAGTCAAACTGCATTTTACCACACATCTTTAAATAGCTGAGAATATTCACATAAGGCTGTGTGCCAACTTAATTCATAGGATCCAAGATTCAGAAATGTGAAATTCTCCCACACCTACTAAGAAAAGCCCAGTGATCTCTAATGTAAGCAGTGATCCTAATCCTATATATAGCAGCTAAGTCAAGTGCCAAAAAAGTTGCTAAGTCAAGTGACAAAAAGCATATGCCACGGCTCAGAAGTAGCACATACCAAGCAGCACCAGCACTGGCTCACAGAAGGCAATATGGCACTACCCGACTGCAATCTGAGCATGATGAGGCTGAGGCAGGATTGCAAATCCTAGACCTCCTGGGCTACATAGTAAGACGCTTCCTCTAAGAGGCATATCTGTAACAGTCAGGAAACCAAAGTGGTAAGATAAAAAGCACTAAATATCTGCTGTGCTGGGGGAAGGGAACTGGCTTCCACAGTGAACACTGAAAGACGGACAAGGTCATCAACAGATCATGTGAAAGTCAAACACCTGACTGGTTCCTCAGACATAGGGAACATTAAAAGAACAATATTCACTTCTCAGGTGTGAATATGAAAAGTTTGTTGACACAATGTATCATTGTGATAGGGATATTTCTTAAATAATGTTTGAAAGGCAATACCACTGATCAAAAATACGTATACAGTTGTGTGTTGTATGTACTCTGTTCTTCTGCCCTGATTTAGACTGAGCCCAGGGTCTCGTGCATACAAGCTAACCATTCTCCCTGAGCTATGTCTCTAGCTCCAATAACCTAAATATCAATATTATCTCGGAAAGTTACTTAAACTCTGGTGATTTTAACCACACAAGCATCCAACTACATCAAGAGTGAAAGAGGCTAAGAGACACATGGCCTAATATATTATCATCAATATTTACAAGGTAAAATTAGTTTCTGGACAATATACTGTGTGTAGTATTCAAGACAACCTTAGATAAAGTTGAAAATAATTATTCAGGTGTGGTAATCTCAGTGCTCAGGGGGCTGAGACAGAAGAACTTTCATGAGTTTAAGGTCAGCATCAGCTACCTGGTGAGTTCAAGGGTATCCTGGGCTACAGAATGAGACGATATCTCAAAAAAAAAAAAAAAAAACTATGAAGCACTTTGGCTCACTTAATACAATCAGCTCTGTACTCATCACCGCTCTGTACTCATCACCCATTGCATGACATTAGATGACAAAATTCAATGTACACTGAAAGGGCACATCAATACTGATAACCAGAACTTTCTATTAAATCAACACTGACACCTGGGAAAGATGATCAATTTTTGCTCACAATACTGAGTTCCTTTTGCCATTTCACAGGACCACATATACCAACCCTAGAACCTCCATTTCTTTGGCTGATTTCTACATCGGACTAACCTAGGACTTCTAACAAAAGAAATACAGGGTGCTACCAATTCCTAAGTGCTCTCTGAATACTTCTTCAAAATAACGTATCTAGAAGCACACTGACATCCCACAAACAACACATTTCACTTTCATGTGATGCTACCAAGTACGCAGGACAGTAATAGAAAATTTAGGAGAGGAAAAAAATCTCCCAAATACTTTTCATGGAAAAAAAAGCCTAATTAGCTATTGTAAATTAATAAGATAAAAATAGAAAGTAAAAAAGAATGACAAAACCAACCCCTCCTCGCTGACCATCTACGTGTATGGAACGGATGTGATCGGCCAAGTCTGGGCTAGAGTTGAAACACGCCTGGCACTGGTCCCAACAGCAGTTATAGGCAATATTTTTGCTTGAAGAAGTAGTGCTTCCTTGTCCGTTCATCATTGCTGGAGTTGAACGCCCACTGGAAATTGTGCTGTCTACGTCCATTATAGTACTGCTTATGCTGCAAGAGAACAAAGTCTGTGTTACTCCTAGAAATGCGCGGTCGTACGATCTTATAAACACTGATACAATTACAACATTCCACCGCATTCAAATATCATATACTAGCCATGTTCTCTAGTAGAGAACAATGCTTTGAAATTAGTTGGCCCTTAAGTGCAAATCAAGACAACAATACCACAGGTATGTCAAAACAAAATACAGAGCCGGGTGTCATGCCTATAATCTTAGCACATGGGAGGCTGAGGCAGGATGATTGCTAACAACTTGAAGATAGCATGAGAAACAGAGTGAGATGCAGTGTGGGCTCCATAGCAAGAATAGCTCAAAAACAAAGCAGGGTCTAGACAGGTAGCTAATAGCAGAACATTTGCCTAACATGGGCAAGGCAATCTGTTCAATCCCCCAGGCACAATAAGTCTCTAAAGGTACCAAACCCAAAGAATAAGTCTTCTCTGGCCTTCAAGGAAAAAAAGAAGTAAATTTTTATATTACATTTTTTTAGGGAGGGAGCAACTGGCAGGCGTCAAGTCTCTCAGATCATCAGATCTGGCACCTTTACCATCAGATCTGTTGATCCATCTAACGGGTCCCCCAAAATCTGAAAGTCTTACCATTTTGCCCAAGCTGGCATTGCTTAAATTTAATTTCTACCCGACAAAAAGACCAAAATTATTTTGTGAAAAGATCTTGCTAGGTAACCCAGGCTAGCCTTTTTAACTCCTAATCTTCTTGCCTGAGTCTTCCCAATGCTACAGTTACAGGTGGGCACGGACACGCTCAGCTTATCAACAATTTTAGCTGTTTCCCTCCCCTCAAGATTTTTTTGGTTTGGAGCTTTTGTTGTTGATTGGTTGGCTATTTTTTTATTTTTTTTTATTTTAGTCTTTTTGAGACCGGATCTTCCTGTAGCCCCAGCTGGCCTAGAACTCAGTATGTAGACCATACTGCCTCCCAAGTGCTGGGATTAAAGGTGTGCGCCACCACACCCGGCTGGTTGACTAATTTTTTATGACGGGCCTCTTGTAGCCCAGACTGCCTCAAACTTTTGAGTAGCAAGGGACAGCCTTCAATTCCTGATCCTCCTCAGTCCACCTTCCAAGTGCTGAAATGATAGGCATGCACCACTGCTCCTGGCTCCTCCATGTTAAGCTGGGTTATGAAGAAGTGGTAGGCTGCCTGCATAGTATGTACACAGTCCTGGGTTCACTTTTCAGCACCAAAAAAAATTTAACTAAATTCAGTTTCAGGCTGCAATACAGCTCACTGGCAAAGTACTTACCTATCAAGTGTGAGGCCCTTGTTCCAACCCGTAGGCTCAAGCGGAAAGAAGGGGGAAAGGAAGGGGAAGACAACAAGCAGGGGGAGAAGAGAAAAAGGAACGGCGGGGGGGGGGGGGGTGCAAGATGGCTCAGAGGATAAAGGCACCTGCTACCAAGCTGGATGACCCAAGTTTAATCTGCAGGACCCACATCGTGGAAGGAAAGAACCGGCCCCTACAAGCTGTCCTCTAACCTCTGTATGTATATACAGATATAGTCACAAAATAAAAATATAAAAATTTGCTTCTTTAAAAAAGAGAAAAAGCTAGGAATGTAGCTCTGTTGGTGGATTACTTGCCTAGCATACATGGAGCTCTGGTTTATCTCCAGCACCACATAAATGGTCCTGGTGGCGTTCCTATAATTTCAACACTTGGGCAGTGGAGGCAGAAGGATCAGAAGTTCAAGGCTGGGCTATAAGACACAGAAAGGGAAGGGGAAAGGGAGGGAAGGAGGGAGGAAGGAAGGAATCAGTCAGTCAGTCAATCAGTCAAACAAAACTTCAATTCTCAACTAGATATGGCAGCTCATATCTGTAAATTTCAGCATTCTGGAGGCTGATGGAAGAGGACCACAAGTTCAAGATCAACCTGGGCTACAGTGTGAGACTGCCTCAAAAACAAACAAAATACTAATTCTGGAGTTGGGGATATACTTTAGTGATAGAGCATTTGCCTACCATGCTTAAAACCCCACCACAAAAGACAGAACCAACTCATGAAGCCAAGTTGTCCTCTGGCCTCCATGCACCTAGCATGACACACATACCCTCATACCTTCACACACACACACACTCTTAAAAATGCCATTAAAATTTTTAGAGATTCAACCACAAGCCCGGTATGGTGGTAATCAACTTTAAACCCAGCACTTGTGAAGCAGAGGGTTACAGGACAGCCAGTGCTCAAAAAAAAAAAAAAAAAAAAAAAAAAAAAAATTTATGCATTAGGGTTCTATTTAAAAATTCATTTGAGGAGAAGTTTCAAACAGTATTGAAAACCCATTAATTTGTTTTCATTGTGATCAATACCTGATAACTGTACATACTTGTACGGAAAATGATGTTTCAGAATAAATACACATGACACTGAGAAACCCAGGCTAATTAGCATATCCACAATCATATTTTTTTGTAGTAGATCCAAAATCCTCTCTCCTAGCTATTTTGAGATACAGGACACTTTACTATTTATTATAATCACCCTGCTGTGCAATAAAGAACACCAGAATTTATCCTTCCTAACCACAACACTGTACCCTGTAAACAGCTTTTAAATTATTTTCTCAACAGACATCAAAATTGTCAGCTACTAGGATACTAAATAGCAGTATTGTTTTTTCCCCCTGCCCTGGTCTTTTTTGAGCCAGGGTCTCCCTGTTACTCCAGCTGGCCCAGAACTCACTATGTAGACCAAGCTGGCCTTGAACTCAAGAGATCTGCCTGCAACGCATGTGCCACCACAACCAGCAACAGCAGTACTTTTACATTAAAAAGTTAGAAATCAGTGAGCTTACATATAGAATGACAGAAAAGAATGAAGTAGCGGGGCTGGAGGGATGTCTCTGAGGTTAAAAGCACTTTGTAGAAGACCCAGATTCAATTCCCAGGACCCACATGGCGGCTAACAACGTCTGTAACTCCAGTTCCAGGGGATCCAAAACCCTCTTCTGACCTCTGCGTGCACTGCATGACACGGGTGCACTTACATGCAGGCAATGCACCCATACACTTTAAAATAAAAAATAATAAAGACAATATTTTTAAAGAATGTAGTAGAAAAACAAGACAATCAAGGGGTCTAAGCCTTTTCTTCAGGAAAGGTAAGTTCCTGGTTTGAGAATTCCAGTAAAAACTGTCACATTTCTAATGGATCTTGCTTTTTTATTCCCACCCATCAATGAAAAACAATCTTTAGGATGCCTTCAGTTCACCTAATTATTACCAACTCCTTCTACCTGTGGGGTGTTAGGGATGGAACTCCAGGACTCATGCACACTAGGTGCACTATGACACTGACATCCACAGCCTATATAGTATTCTGTAATTCTAACATTTCAGAATAGAACATAAACCAGTGTGGTGTTGCCCGTCTATGATCTCAGCACTTGGGAGGTGAGACAGGAAGATCCCAACACTGAAAACAAGAGCTCAAAAAGGCCAGGTGTGATGGCTCACAACTATAATCCCTGAGCTCCAGAGCCTGAGGTAGGAGGATTTCAGAAAGTTCAATGGCAGCCTGAATTCCAGACTAGCCTGGGTAAAAGAATAAGACATTATCTCAAGGAAAGAGAAGGAAAAAAAAAAAAAAAAAAAAAAAAAAAAAAAAAACCAGAATGGCACATGAACATATATGACCCTATATTTAGAATGAAAAATGGCTTAAGATGGAAAATAAAAATTTCTACAATCTAAAAGCACTTAGCAGGGTCAGAGAAGACAATATAACCTTAAGCTTTTTATTGTGTTGTTTTGGGTGGTTTTTCTGACACTGGGTCTAGCCCAGGCTGGCCCTGAGCCACAATCCTCCAGCCTCCTGAGATTACAGCCAGGTGCCACCATGTCTGGCAAACCTTAAACTTTGTGACTGATAATAAACAAAACATATTTAGCAAATTGCAGACAATTTCAGAACCATACATCAGATTCTGAATTTAACCAAACAAGCAAATAAACTGTGTCTTTCATCTACAATACTGTGAATTCACACCTTTAGTCCCAGCACCTGAGAAGCAGATACAGGTGGATCTGTGAGTTCAAGACCAGCATGAGTTACATAATGAAATTGACTCAAAAGGGGGGGGTCCCCATACTATGTCTCTCATACATTTTTTATGATTATATTTTATTATTTTTATTTTATGTGTATGAGTACTATATTGCCTACATGTATGTGAGTGCACCCATGTGCCATTTCTATTGGAGGTCAGAAGAGGGCATTGGATCCCCTGGAACTGGAGTCAGGACAGTTGTTAAATACCATGTGAGTGCTGGGAATTGAACTCAGGTCTTCTGCAAGAGCAACCAGTGCTCTTAACTGCTGAGCCATCCTCTCCAATACTTCTAATCAAAATTATTAAAGGTAAAAACTCATTAGGGATGTAGCTCAAGAGTACAGTGCTTCTCTAACATGTACAAGACCCTAAATTCAATCCAAAGAACTGCAAAAAGAAAAGGAGGGAGGGAGGGGGAGGGAGAAACAGGGCCACACCGAAAAGAACTCAGAGAGATACACACCCAAAGAGATAGTAATGTAGCCCAGGTTGTGGAGAAGTCCTGGGTTCATCTCCAGCACCATATAAACCAGGCATGGTATAATACACCTGTAAACTCGGCACATGAGGTGGAAGCAGGAGGAGCACAAGTTCAAAGGCATCCTCTGCCAGTCTAGGCTATATGAGACCCTATCTTAAAAACAAGCAAAAGTCAGCTGGGCGTGATGGCGCACGCCTTTAATCCCAGCACTCGGGAGGCAGAGGCAGGTGGATCTCTGTGAATTCAAGGCCAACCTGGTCCACATAGTGAGTTCCAGGACAGCTGGAGCAACAGGGAGACCCTGTCTCAAAAAGACCAAAAAAAAAGAAAACAAAACAAAAACAAGCAAAAGTCAAACAAAACTTACAGCATGCAAAGTATTTGAAAGTTTCCTACATACAACTTGAAGAGTGGAAACTACTCCAT